TTCCAAACTCCCATTAACTTCACCATTCTCTATGAACTTGGCATTTCCAGTTTCCACAATTCTAGTACTATAGTTAGGATAATAAAATCTATACCCCTTGATTTTTCGGGATAATCAATGAAAAATCGACTGATTGTTCTTGAATCCAGTTTCTTTTTATGTGGGTTATAAATTCTTGCTTCTATTGGGCAATCCCAAACATGTAGGTGCCTTAAACTGGGTTTCCTTCCCGTTAACAGTTCAAAAGGAGTTTTCGGAACTGCCTTACTAGGAACCATATATTGCAAATATATAACAGTCTTTAATGTAAACATCCATAAAGAAATGGGTAAAGAATAATTGCTTAACATACACATAATCATTTCTGTTAGAGTACAATTACGCCTTTCAGCTATACCATTTTGTTGTGATGGGTCGGCATAGTGTATTGAAAACATATACCGCGTCTTTCAAGAAATTTAGCAAATGGACCTGAGTGTTGTCTAGTTTCACCATATCTTCAATAATATTCACCAACTCTATTAGATATAATGATTTTAGCCTTTCTATCTAATTGTCGTTCAACTTCATTGACAAAAATCTCTAAAGTATTTACAGCTTGAGACTTTCATGTAGCAGATAGATATAACCATAACGTGAAAAGCATCAATAAAGGTGACAAAATACTTTTCTCCACCAAATGATAGAACATCAAAAGGCCCACTTATATTGGTGTGTATTATTTCAAAAAGTTGTGTGCTTATTGTGGCGCCTTTCTTTGTGTGTTTGATTTGTTTGCCCTTAATACAATCCATGCAAGATTCGAGATCACTAAAATCCAAGTCAGGAATGACTTCATTCTTTACTAATCTTTCTATNATTATTTCAAGAAGTTGTGTGCTTCTTGTGGCTCATTTCTTTGTGTGTTTGGTTTGTTTGCCCTTAATACAATCCACACAGGTTTTGAGATCACTAAAATCCAAGTCAGGAAGCATTTCATTCTTTACTAATCTTTCTATCATTTTCTTGGATATGTGACCCAAATGTTTATACCACAAGTTAGCAGATTGTTCATTCAATAAACCACGTTTAGTATCAACATTATGATGCAAGGTTAAAAGTGTTACGGCAATGAGGTTATCAAACTTTAATTTATATAAGCCATCACAAAGAGTAGTAGAACCTATAAGATGCTTTTTTTTAAACAAACTCAAACATCCATTTCTACCATTAAAGAAATATCTAGAAGAATCAAGTTTTGATAAGGAAACTAAATTGTGGGAAACAGAAGGTAAATAAAGAGTTTGAAATAAATCTAAATGATGTCCTATGTCTAAAATCAAATAGTAGGTTCCAATAGCTTCAATAGGAGCTTTGACTCGATTGCCCATGAGAACAAACTTTTCATTTGGATTTGTGATCCGAATTAAAAGAAATCCATGCATCGTATTGGTAACATGAGTGGTACATCCGGAATCAATCCACCAAGTATTATAAGGAACTTCTGCCAAATTAGATTCGAAACGTACATAAGAAATATTATTACCTTTACTTTCAAACCACGCCTTACATTTCAGGCAGTCATTTTTATGGTGCCCAAGTTTATGACAGAAATGGCACGTATCTTTCTTGTGTTTCTTATTGTGGATTTGGGCAGAAGACTCATTTATCTGTAGCGGTTATTGCTTAATGCACTTTCCAGACCTTTTCTTATATTTCTTTCCAACTGCTTGATGACTTAAAGGATGAATATAATGAGTTCCTTGATTCTTAAGCCTTGTCT